GAAATTTATCGCATTTACTATGGTGTTTTGGGGTGGGCCACTCGCATGTGAAATACGTTATATCTCTCACTTACATATATCTCAACACTCAACGTTGCTATTTCGTTTCATTCTTTGTTGGCAACTGTTGATAAGAAATCTAAGTAGTATACCTATCTTACTTTCTTGTTCTTTGTTTTTAAAGACAGTTCAAAAANAAAAAAAAAAAAAAAAAAAAGTTTTGTTCAACTATTTTCTAAAACCGTACATATTCCTCCCCTAATGTACTACATTTTTGTCACCATCACCTTGCATACGGAGTACTTGAGATGAAGATGGGAAATGCAGGGAGATAGGGGTCTCCTTAAATGGCCTCCTTTTGTCTCCCAACAAAATCAAGCTGGAATTGCCACTTGGTCCGGCCGCTGCCGGAGATCAAACCCCACGATTAGGAGCTATTCTCTCCACTGCTCTCCTTTCAACGCCAACCATCGTTTGATTGGTGCTGATATTGATATTTAATTACACAGAAACAAAGCTTTGTATCCTCCGTACGGACTGTCTCAAGGGTCAAAACCTAGCGAAGGCCAATTGAACACATGGAGCCTCGTCGCACGAAGTTGGTAAGCGCAACCTAGTTCTCGCTCATGATCTCCATTGAACGTGAATTCACGCAATTGTTGCTGACAGGCTTTCAGGCTTGTACTACATGTAGGCGAAAGAAGACTAAATGTGATGGAAGAAAGCCAAAATGCTCGCCCTGCAGCACCTTCAACTTGCCCTGTACCTTCCCTGACACCTTTAGACATCCTCGCCCTCCCAATGAGTATGTTACTCTCTTTCTTTACTGTATAACTAAATTTTCATTATCCGATTTTTAACGAAAATTATGGATAGGCATGTATATCGAGAGTTGGAGGAACGTATAGGAACAATGGAGAGGCACCTAGCTCTTGCTACCATCCAGATGCTGAAAGATCATAGGATTCGGCCTCTCGCGTCACGCCTACTATGCCAGCTGCTGAACCCAGTCCCAATGATGACCAAACGTCGTATGTTCTTACTGCCCAAAATGGACGAATGCAATTCTTCGGTGAGTCCAAATGCAACTAGTTGTTTCCTTTTTTCGAAATGCGACTCTACATTTTCGCCTTGGATTGCCCAACAAAGATTTTCAGTACCTTCAAATTATTTGATGGAACTTGAGCATGAAATTGACCATCTATTTTAGGTACTTCCTCTGGGCTCTCTCTCGTCTTCCCCCTGGGTGCCTGGTGGGTAGAGAAATAGACCGGGTCCGAGCGATCTCGACATGCTGGAATGAATGGTGTGCAGCAATGGAAGTTACACAACTGGATTCCTACTATACTTTAAGATGGGTTTGACAAACGTACCTCCCAGCCTCTACCATCCAAGGAGGTTGCGATGCAATTGTTGAGCGAATACTTCAATGGTTATAACAAAGCACTGCCCCTCTTTGACGAGTCGCGGGTCGACAAGCTATTCCAAAGGCAATATTCATGGAATCCTGAATCAAATCCCTCTTGGTGGGCAGCTTTCAATGTTATTCTGGGTATGTCTTACAAGGCGAGAGCACAGAAGGCAGTTGATGGAAGCGAAGATTGGAAAAAATCATTAGAGCACATCAGAAATGCTTTGAATGTTGTTGTAGAGCTTTTCATGAGGGCTGCAGATATACTTGCTGTTCAGGGGCTGCTTGAGTTGGCCGTGTTTTTTCATGAAACCCCAGACCCTCAACCTCTTTTTACATTTGCAGCAGCAGCAGCAGCAGCAGCAATGCGGCTGGGTCAATCCATCGGGCTGCATAGATCTTATACCTTTGGTCTAGATCCTACCGAAATCGAGGAAAGAAACAGGACGTTTTGGATTGCTTTTATCGTTGATGCAGACATTTGTCACAAAACTGGTCGCCCAGCAACACAAGATACCAATGACTTCAACACCATGCTGCTAAGGGAGCTCCCACATGACGAATTGGGGCTCATTCAACGGCATTGAAGTGAATTACCTGCACGCTTACGCGCGATTTTCTCTCATACAGCGAGATGTCTACCGCCGACTGTACACTGCAACTGCGACTCGAAAATCTGGGCAAGATTTGATCAAGGAGGTAAAAGACTGCGAAGCTGCCCTCCTTGATTGGAAGAAATGCATCCCGATAGAGCTTCAACCACAACCAAAATTTTCTGCCGGGCAAAATTTCTTCTTTCAGTGCATTCTAAGGTTGCACTTTGCGTACCACTGCTGTTACGCCCAACTGCATCAAATCTGTCTGCACGCCAAGCGATTAATCGAGGTGGAGATGATTGGAAATGTCAGTCCGGACTCAATCCAAGATATAGAGCACTGCATTTCCGGATCACTTACAGCTGCGAGGTCTGCGGTAGACCTTTTGGAACATGTTGACAAGTTCGGTATATCGTTTACATGGTATGCCCATCTTTGCGTTGCATTCTTGAACCAAATAAAGCCCATGCTAACCAGTGTGACAGGAGTATTGTATACTTCCCTGCTGCTGTGGTCGCCACGCTCTTCGCACATATCCTCACACACCCAAACCAAGATGCCACTGCGGATCTCCGTTCGATTCACCAGATCGTTCAGTTTCTGAAAAATGTCACCGCTCAAGAACATGGCACATATGTTGATTACCTTGTTTCTCTATGCTCGGATTTTGAAGATGCAGCCAGACAGGCTTCACGGAATGCTCCCAGCGGCTGTAACCGTCCGCCTTTGGACCAAGGGACGGCCAGTGTTTCTCTACTCAATAACGACTTATCGAGAGATTTTGCTAGCCCCGATCAAGGATTCACCGGAATATCAGGAAACACAGCATTCAGCGATCCTCAAGTGGCCTTCCAAACTCCGAGGACTATTCTATGCCAAACTCCCAAAGCGATGTAACGGAAAGCTTACAATATTCTATTCCTCCCATGTGGAACTGGCAAGACATGATGATATTGATGTCTCCTGGGACTAATTCAGATGTGATACAAAGCCGCGGACAAACTGGGGATTCTCAATGATTTTGAGAAATAACTAAAGACGTTGCGGTCAGAGAGATATGCATACTTTCCAGATTTTCCTATTTCTTGTACAATAAAAGGGTTGATGATATTTTGCTACGCGAGTCATGGTTTATTCTTTCGAATGAAGAATAACATAGTAATTCTGCAATGAACCATACTGAAGAGCGGAGATAAATTGAGGGGTGCAACATGGATCAGAGAACAGAAGCAGGGGTCTTGAGCTAAGACATATCGATAACAATGAGGCCCTTGAGACCACCACCATGCATCTTGTGGAAAATATCAGTAAGATCTTCCATCTTCGCGACAGTGACATGTGGGTCAATGATCCCGCGAGCTGCAAAATCCAGGGTTTTCATAGCTTCCTCCCGGGTTCCAACTGCAGAGCCGATAATCTTTAGCTGTTTAAAGATAATCACGGCAGGCTTTGCCGAAGCAATTGCTTGCATTTCGCCTTCTGGGACTCCAACACAAACAAGAGCACCATTCGGGCGGAGCATCAACAGCTCAGTTTCATATGTCGGCGGGGCAAACTATAGCAGCGTGAGCTCCAAGGCCACCAGACAACTCCAATACATGATCCACAAGTGATTCGTCATCGGAAAACTCATCCATGTCAACAAAATGCTCCGCACCCGACTTCAAAACCAATTCTTTCTTGGACGAGCGGTCGATAGCAATGATTCGGAATCCCAATCCTCGACTGCCGAGTTGGACGGCAACATGGCCCAAGCCTCCTCCAGCACCAGAAACAATAACGAAATCACCTGGCTTTGCCTCACTGCATTTGAAGGCTGAGTAGATGGTGAGACCTGCACAAAGCATTAGCGCAGCATTCTCAGACGCAAGACCGTCTGGAATAGGTGTCACATAGTTGGCAGGTCCTAAGACGAATTCTTGGAACGTGCCTGGAGTACGGAAGCCAGAAATCGTAGACTTGGGACAAGTGGTTTCCATGCCTGAGTAACACATAACTTTGGATCGATATTAATGGTATATCTCAGATACAGTGAATATGAATGGTGGCCTACTGCAGCTCCCGCAAGTCGAAGCAAGCCATTTGACTCCAACACGGTCTCCTACCCTGAGACCAGAGTTTTCACATCCTGGTCCCAACTTTGCGACCTTACCAACGCCTTCATGTCCACCAACTTGTCCTTTCTCTGTATCAGGGAGATAGCTCCACTGAAAATGAACTGTTCAGTTATCTTTCTTTCCAGGCTGAAGATGATTCCACATACCGAATTTGTCATGATACCATAGTCGGAATGGCAGACACCTGAATGAGTGCTTTAACATGGTGTTAGCGACTATCAGTATGCACTAGCATCTGGCAAAGTAGAGAAGGGGCAAATTACAGCCTGATAAGGACTTGCCCCAGCCCCGGCTCTGGAGTGTCAACCAGAACAACTTTCGTAGAAACTGTTCCGGGCTGGTCATAAATGATAGCTCGGTGTTGCTTGGGAATGATGATGGTATCCGGCATTGTATCAATCGTAGCTTGCCGTATTTAAAGTAGAAACCAGTTAGTTATTGTCTGGAAAGAACGTAATGATCCGCATGCCGTGAACATTTATATACTTCAAGGAACATTACTTGATCCGGTGTTATTGCACCTTGGGTAATCATTCCGAATCACGTACTTTGCCATGCGGAAGCCTCCCACGGGCATCGGGCTTTTGGCCGGTCCGCGGCCCGTGGAAGCGGGCACTATCCTGGGGCCGACCAATTAGGGGAGGTGACAACTCACGAGGTACTATGAATATCCAAATCTAGAAGAAGCTAAGGTAAGATCCCTGACTACAAATTACGGGACCAACTCCTCTGGCTCAGAGTTATTTCAACATCTTCTCATTCTATCTTCTTTACCATTTATCGAATATTTTTACACCATGTCCACAAGGTATATACTGCCGTCATTGTTCTTAATAGCAATTTATCGTTATACTTATATTTATATTCTAGCACTCCCCAGGATCAGTTTGTTGCCCTCGTTGCCAAGGGCGGCAATTTGAGCGAAGCCGACATCGAGGTTGTTTATAACAAGCTTCCTGCTCTTCCCATTGATTTTCTCCGTGGAGAATGGAAAGGTGGAAGCTTTGACACTGGTCACCCTGGCCACACCCAGCTCTTGTCTATGAACTGGCTTGGAAAGACCTTCCACTCCACTGAAAGTGTCGACCCTATTGTTGTATCAAAAGATGGAAAGCGTGTATGCGATGAGAACTGGGGCCATGCTGTCGTGAGTAAACACAATATATTTCAGGAACAATGCGAGTTCTAACATAATGCAGCTCCGTGAGATTCGTTTCCGTGACCTCGTGTCAACCGCTATGATCTATGACAAGCACCCTATCATTGACCACTTCCGCTATGTCAACGACAACTTCATTGCTGGCGCCATGGACACTAGCTCCTTCGGTGACGCTGGTACATACTACTTTTACCTACATAAATAGGTATAAATGAGGCATGACTTTGGGTGTCGGCATCTGGACTCGACACATGCCAACTCGGCCTAATGAATTGGGATGCGGTATTACCGAGAAAGTAATACATGTTGATGGCTGCTAATGTGTCCCACTATATGTGAAGTTTCACTTCATTTGCATTTTGTGATAGAGATTTTCTTGTTTACTGATTCTTCGGACTTCATATTTCCCCGCTATTTTGTGTATATACTAGGCTTAACGCAGCCAAACACACGTTTGGTCTGCCTATATCAAATATATATTTTCCAGTCTTTTCCAAGCGCACCCGCCTCACGCTCGCCTTTTCCCTAAATAAGTAATCTGTAGATCGAACGCGTTGAAATTTCGGCTTTTTTTGTTGATCTATCGAGTTGAAGGTCCTGTATCTGTGTTCTTCGATTGGCATTGTGACGAGTTTGAGGGCCAAGTTCAGGCAATGCCGTGCAGAGTAACCTCGCATCGAGTAGCTTCTATATGTCACAGATTCTACACTACAATTATAAATCCTAAGGATATCTCTGTGCATCATATTCCAGGGAGTATAGCGCGGGTTTCGCACTTTGGACTATCCATCGAACGGCTAATACCAAAGAAACCGGATGTACTAGGTGAGTTGAGAAATCCAGCTCGGGGGTTTCCCCATGTTACCGTGGAGGTCTTGTTACGGAGGGCTGCGCTCCGGGTACCATGTATCTCGCCGCCCTAGTGGCAAGGGCGACCCACATTGACTCTATTCTCTCTATCCCAACTGGTGCAATGTCCTTTTACCCCCGGATGCGATGTCTGTCACCTGTAGTTCCAAAAGATCAGCCCACATATTATCCGCCTGGTCCAGAGTTCACTAGAGAATAAGAAATACCAGCCGGATTATGAGGCCCGCGGCCCGTGAGCCTCGGGGATATACTAACATAGTTTGCTAGTTCGTACACTGATCTACCAGAACAACTTAGATTTTAAATAACTGAAAATGGATTGGAAATCCCTCTATTTCCCCTGGATCTTGAATAAATCAATTGAATTGCTGTCATCTTCAGTATTCCCACAACGTTCAAAATGAACTCGAAAATTATGGACGGATCTCAAAACTTGGAGGCCGCATACCTGTGACCCAAGACCAGCACGCCAGAGCCACCTAAAGAACATAGATTTGCTGATACTGTTCCACTTGGGTTGTCAGGATTTGCATTAACGATGTTTGTTCTGAGTCTTATCAACGTCCGAACTCGAGACATTGCTAGCCCTAGCATTTTTGCCGCGAGCGCTTATGCTTATGGTGGGATAGTTCAGTTCTTTGCTGGCATATGGTATGTATTGAGTTTCCAATCAATGTTTGCGTAACATGTGGGGTGGGCTCACTAGGATATAGGGGAATGGTATCTGGTAGTACCTTCGGTGCCACTGCGCTCTGTTCCTATGGAGGGTTCTGGGTCTCATTTGCCATTATCCTTACGCCGGGTGGATTTAATATTGCGGAAACATTGGGGGCCGAGAGCTCTACTGCATTCAATGATTCATTTGGCCTTTTTCTGATGGCACCTTGACCTAACGTCTAACCTCCCCCAGACACGCACTAACAAGATTTAGGGCTGGTTCATTTTCACCACGCTTATGCTGTTTTGTACTATTTATCAGTCCTTGGCATTTGTTGTTCTCTTTACATTCTTGGACTTGACATTCCTACTTTTGGCAATTGAGTACCTACACCCGAATGCAAGCAACGCCCCGAACATCAATCTTATCAAAAGCGGTGGATATTTCGGTATTCTTTCAGCATTCACGGCCTGGTACATTGCTCTATCAGGCGTGATCGCCGACGAAAAAGGGCAAGTAACTCATCGACTGCCTTATTCGACGATGATCTAATCTTGCTTTAGCGGACCTGTGAAATTTCCGACTGTTCCACTTCCGTGGTCCCGATGAAAGTTGCTTACGAGAAGGAAGTAATCACTAGAAGAGCCTCGGATCTTTCAAATAAAATAGAGTAACTCAATACCATGAATATTTGTGCGAAGAAACAATGTATGTAGATTCGTATGGCACGAAGTGAACGAAGAGTGGGAGAGGAAGTGGAGAGAGGAATCATCTCCATATGTAATAGCACCTATCTACAGGATTGGACCTATCCCATGAGGTTCGGACGATTGGCAATACCATTAATATTTGGTTCACCAAACTGAGTTTGTTAAAGCATCTGCCGGCTGCACATAGTGACAATCAGTAGTGACCCTCCGAAATCGACTCCTTTAATAGTAAAGGTTGTAACAGAAGAGAGCTCTATGTTATAATGTATCCCACAATGGGGATCGTCTAAACCACCGCTGTAGTGCTTTATGTTAAGAATTCTAGGGACTTGAGGATTCGCAAGCCTGACTATTTATTTCCACCTATCGGCGAGAGCTCCTCCCGGAAGGAATGCCTGTACAGCATCATTCTCTTTATGATATAGTCGTAGATACAGGCAAATAGCAGGACATTCCACTCTAGCCCTAAGTTCAATCCACCATATACTGCGGCTTGCTTTGCAGTACCATAGATAGAGCAACAATAGCGCTGCAGGATCCCTCTTCCGGAGCAGGTGTTCGAAAGGGCCATGGATACTCCTCATGAATAGTTGAATTTGACCTGTTCTGACACCGCTATCCGGAAGGTCTAGGATCTGGGATAATGCGTGGGCAGAATGGAAATACGGATTAGTTTCCGCCTTAGATGAGTCTTTGAGGTTACAAATTGCAACCAAGGCCCTTGGTATACCATCTATGCCTCCCTCTGGCAATGGCGAATGCATATGAGCAAAGGTAGCTGCCATGACGCGGAAAAGACTGCCCGGTCGTAGCGGGTTAACCATATGCCACAATGCCATTTTACCCTTGCTCATACGCACCCAGTCCAAGTCAGAGGAGTCGGAGGACTTTAGAGGCCATGCTTGTTCTGGTGTGTGGACATCGGGGGACGAGATGGTCAAGATAACCAGAGCAGCCGCAGTACCCCAAATTGGATCCTTATCTTCGTCTTCAATCGGTCCCCTTAGCCGTTGGTTCAAGAGAATTGTGCTTTGAGACCAATGATAACACTCTTCTACAGTGCGGCGACCACCCGAGGAACCGTTCAGATGACGGTCGTATGTAAGCGCCACAGCTAGCGAGGCGTGCATTAAGAAAGGGTACTATAAATGATATATTAGCTGGGCTCAGGCCTATAATGGATAGTATGGCTTCAGATTTGATGCAATAGAACTTACGGCGAAGGCTAATTTAAGGAGCTTGCGGTTAACTTGTACCATGTTAGGATCATCTGGAGTAATGAGACTTCGTCCAAGATACCGGGTTATGAAATCTTGACACCTTGTGTTCAATTGATAGGATGTCGATCCGTCAGATGTCCAGACAGCATTTGTGATAGGGGGCTGAATGTCTACTTTTCCTCCAACCACCAATGGCCGCCCTGTGTCAGCGGCGACGGGCTGGAGGTCGGGGATACTAGACATGAAGTTGCATAATACCCCAAATGAAATACATCTCTCGCACTGTGGTTTCCCTTCATCGCACTAATATGCCGAGCAAGTTTGGTTAGCCAAGCACCAGATTGTTGAAAGGCTAGGGCGGCCCACCTTCAGATTTCGAAGCTTGCAATTTCGGCAGCCAAATCTCGATCTTCGCAGACTTCTACTATTCCACAACTCTCTTGGTAAAGTCGAAGCCATGGCTTGCGCAGCTTGGCTATGAGGGATTTTTCCGAGTTCGATGGGCATTCAATTCAATACAGGTGGAGGTGAGGTGGTCATGTTCCCCCAATGACACTAAGGGGGGTACCCCATGCGCTAACCCTCTTTCGGATATTCCACCTTTCACGCTAGCTGTTCCTCGGATGCAGCCGTCTCTGATTGGCTGCGATTCCATCTATAATCAACGAGATCACGTTGGACGGGCGCATCACTGCGAGAATAATTGAATCGGGATGACACGTAATGTATAAGAAGAGAGGTATTCCTATATATCCTAAAAAAACTTGAAAACCGGACTCAGTCCACTTAAAATTATACACCTCGAACGCTGTCACAAGCGGTTCAGAATGGCCACTCACCTTGCCGCTGTCTCACTCGCAAAAGGCGAGCCCTTCGAGGTCCAAACCCGCCCCACGCCAAAACCAGGGCCAGACGAGCTCCTCATCGAGGTCAAATCTGTAGCCCTCAACCCGGCAGACGCCCACATGCGTGATCAAGGCCTCTTCATTGCCACTTACCCCACGGTCATCGGCTTCGACATCTCGGGATTAGTTCTTGATGTTGGCGACAATGTCCCCGTCAGTGCCATCGAAGAAAGCCCAGGCCCTTTTTTCCAACCAGGGATCACCCGTGTCGTCGCCTATGCCGCCTCCTTTTGGAAGGGTTGCGACCCTGACTACGGCGCCTTTCAGGAGCGGTGCCTCGTTCCCTGGCAGCACGCCGTCCCTCTTCCGGATGAGGTTATATCCTGGAACGAAGCGGCAACCTTGCCCGTCGCCGTTGAGGTACCCCTTAACGCGTGGGATATTATGGGAATTCCACGGGTAGGAGAAGCCACTGCTTCTTCTTCCATCTCCGCTGCCCCAATCGGCGCTGATACCAGCGAAAGAACTCAGAAAAGCGAGAAACAAAAGAGAGGCGCCCTGTTAATCTGGGGCGCTTCCTCTAGCGTGGGCACAATGGGTGTGCAAAGCGCCCGGCTGCTGCGGGAAGATCGCGACTCTTCTTTCGCTGCTGTGTACGCCACAGCCGGTGCAGCGAATCAGAAGTACGTAGGATCCCTAGGCGCGGATCGTGTCTTCGATTACAACGACCCGCAGGTTGTGGATGCAATTGTTTCGGCGGCTAGAGAGGACGGTCTAGTGATTAGACACTGCTTTCTTGCGACAGGGCAGCTGGCGCGTTGCCAGGCCGTGCTTCAGGCTTTCTTCGGTGATGATCAAGGGGGAGAGAACCAGAAGGCGAAGATCGGATCGGCGCCGCTTATTCCTCCAGATGCGGAGGAGGTGAGTGGAGTGGAAACCATCTTTGTGATGCCGTTGATAGACAAAGGGGAGAGGTTGGATCAGTTCCAATATTGGTTGGGGACATGGCTGAAGGAGAACCTGGCCAACGGGAGCATCAGGCCGAGCCCGGAGCCGAGGGTCGTAGGAAAGGGGTTGGGGGCTATCAATGCCGGGTTGGATCTGCTGCGCCGTGGAGTCAGTTGTACGAAGTTGGTAGTTGAGGTTGCTGAGTGATAGTTTGTGTGAGGTTGACACTAGGTACTTGATGCAGAAAATTTGCACAGGTGCTTGGCATCGTGCAAAGTGCTCAATATGACTTTAATCAGATTGATCAGATTATGGAACAAGGTCAAGGATACAACCGGATATATTGATTCCTTGGATAGATGATTTGATCGGAGTGGGGTTGGGGTTGGATTGTTGAAGTCATTGACCCCAATTTCTCCAACTTCTTGTTGGGGTAACTGGCGGATAAGCATTGATAGTAATTAATTCCCGCTGTTTCTTTCTTCTTCTCTTTATAACTAGCTTATCGTACATGTACAATTAACGTATCATGGCCTCAACGCATCGCATTGCCGTAATTCAATGGCAGATCAAGGTGGGTGCGTCGAATTGGGCCATGCCCGAGTTTTGAACTACCGGAGACCTGCAGTCCCGTTGCAATCATATTTACTTACATTATCCTAGGAGCTTGATATTGAATACAACCATACAACAGCATGCGAATATATCAAGGAGGCCGCCGTCCAAGGCGCTGAGCTAGCTGTTCTTCCAGAGTAAGGAGCGTGTTACTAGACTTCCTGTCCAACGACACTCGATAGCCCCCAAAACAAAGGAACACTTGCTGATTGAAGATAACCAGATACCATCTCAGCGGCATGGTCCCCACAGACCCCCTTTGGGCAGTCCAAGCCGGCGAATCTGCCCAGTACCTAGCAAAGTACCAAAGCCTGGCCAAGGAACTGCAAATCTGCATCGTACCGGGTACAATCATTGAAAAGCAGACAGGGTCTGATCAATCAACCCTGTTCTACAACACAGCTTACTTCATCTCAAATGATGGCACTGTGCTCGGTTCCTACCGCAAAAAGAACATATGGCACCCGGAACGACCTCACCTCACCTCCTCAGGCCTAGAGCCCCATGTGGCCATCGATACTCCGATCGGGCGCGTGGGGATGCTGATCTGCTGGGATCTGGCATTCCCCGAGGCATTCCGGGAACTGATTGTCGACGGGGCGCAGATTGTGATTGTGCCTACATACTGTGAGTTAAATTTCTCGTAGTTTGTACTTGTATGTCGTGTTCGATCTAATTCAAAGCTCTACCAGGGACCCCTCACGATGCCTCCCCCAAAGCCCGCGCGTATAACCCAGATTCCGAAGCCCTGTTCCTTGAGTCGACCATCACATCCCGTTGCTTTGAGAATACCTGTGGTGTTGTCTTCGCCAATGCTGCTGGGCCGTCGGAGGATTTCTTGGGCTTGTCACAGATTACACTTCCTCTTGTTGGGCCAATTGCTAAGATGGGGACTGAAGAGGGATTCATTGTTGCCGATGTGGATATGGGGGTCATTGAGGCTGCTGAAAGGAATTACAAGGTGCGAGAGGACCTGAAGAAGGAGGATTGGCACTATGTTTATCGTCATACTGGGCTAAAGTAGGCACAAGTCGAGTCTACTAATTGTCTCTTGCTTTTTGCGACCATTATAACCATGTGACTTTGAGCCGCCCCGGTTTCCTGGATGGAAGTTTGATTTTGGAACTTCACCTTTTGCTTTGTGTCTGCTATCATCGCCTTATCAACTGGAATATGAAATAGAACAGGTAGAATAGAATGAAGTAGTACGCCAGAAAATCTGCGAGAGAAGGCGCCTTGACATTGTCAACAGCAAGGATAATATTGGTGAAACCTCAGGAGGCTACCCGCATGACAGGCGGATACGCTACTCCGAACATAGTCTAGCGTCTGAAGCTTATCTCCAACCCTATGGCACTTTCATAGATCTCAGAATAACTTTACATTCGACAAGTCTGTCATGTATTTCGAAGTGCATATAGGTTTCTTCTAGCTAAGTATTCTTGTATTTGGGCTGCAGGAAAGATGGTGTCTCCTGGGTGTTCATCGGTGCCCTCTCACTTTTGACGTAGGTGATAATATGGGGGAGTGAGTCACCAGAGACAACGTAAACATGAGTCTGGGGTATTGGATATAGCTACATACCAGCCACCATAACCAATGATAGGAGAGGCTTCAGTTCTGAAACAGAGATCTCTCAGTTTATGTTGAATGCTGGTTTACAAGATATGGTTGTTCATTCTTTCTACAAGGGTGCCCACTAGATGACAGCTTCACATGGAACTGACCTGATCTGCATGAATTCCTTGTGCCTTTAGTGTCACATGTAGAGATGGGGAGGTGCCCCTGCCTGTTTAGGAAGGGTCAATGGGAGATAATGGGACGCAACCCATTGTTCATTGTCACATCCCAAACAGGCAGGGGCACCTTCCCAAACAGTAAATCTCCCACCTATATAAACCCCCCTCCCCCCATTTCTTTCTCTTGATTTTTCTTCCTTCTTCAACTCACCACCTTTACCTCTACCTTTCTTATCTCTCATTTCATCAATCCCCCACCATCCATCTGGGGTTTCATCACTCCCAAGTATGTTCCATCATCACCTTCCATCATATCTTGTATCAAGTTTTATTGGACATGGAGCCTCTCACCACCTCTGAATACTACGTCATCACGACATGTCACGTCTGTCACGTCGATACCCACACCCATGTGGCCCATCATGTCCACTCTGGTAAGTCTGCCTACTACCTGTCACCACCCTTCAGTCACTAACATGTACTCGTCTCACAGACGCCACACCATATGGGCTTCACCACTCTGGCTTTTCATCTTGCATCTCTGTTGCCCATTGTGAGTATCTTCTTTCCTCTCTATCGCTCCAGTCCACCTTGAACATCTGCCACCTCTCCAACATGCTGTCACCCCCTTGGTCTTTCATCAAACTTGTTCCATCAACCTTCATCATCGTCATCATTCATTGCCACATCATCTCTATGATAACCCCAGCTGTTCATGGTGCCGAGCTGACTGTATCAGACATGTGAAAAGGTCACTCATGTGTTCCATCCTTTGGAGAGCCTTTCTACTCACAGCTTGTCCAATACACAAGGATTGGATGAAACTGCTTGTTCCACGTCCTGTGAGTATTCACTTCCTCTTTTTATCTCCTTTCCCATCCCCTTTCCTCCACCCTGACCACCTTTGGTCTCACTTATGCCGACAAACCTTTGTACTTCTATCATTGCTTGGTACTAACTGCGGTAGATGTGGAATAGAAACAACACCTTACTGCTTGAAACGGCCTTTTTACCTCAATGGTCTTTCATTTACATGTTGCTGCTTCTAGCTAGATGGAAGAATAGCAACCCGGATTGCAGTTGCATTTGCTGCTATGCAGGTAAGAACTCCAGCACCAGAACCCTCCCCACCTCTCTGTTCCTTCTGCTCTGCTATGACGAGTGGAAAATCTTACCAACCCGGTCCAATGGCTGACGCAGGTTCACCTCGGTGTCTTCTGTCACAGGAATCTCATTTCTCATCGTTTTCAATCTGCCTGCCTCGCATCCTCTTGCATGTGCCTGCCACCACCTCGATTTTCCGTGCATGAACACCAAATTCTACATTTAATCCACACAACTTTGCACTGATGAACAGCCACATCGATATTACGATGCCATTTTTCCGATGGATGTGACATGATAGCTGTATGTCTTTCCCACCCCACCTCATCACTTGTTACTAAAAGAAATCTTCCCATTGCAGTCATCTATACCATCTTCCAAAAAATTTGCCCCTGTTGTGATGTATACAACAGCCGAATCTGGCTGGCTGCATATTTCAGCCGGCAAATTCCCCCTGGTAGGCACCGCAGCATCTCCAGCTCCAGTTCAAGGCTATCCATTAGTCTCGCCATCAACGACGACTTACCTCTGCGCAACATACCCGCTTTGCCTTCTAAGCGGAACCCCTTTAAGAAAATGCTTAACACTCAGTTCAAAAGAAAAAGAAAAAGAAAAAGAAAACCAAGATCAACCACATCAACAACAACACATCAATCCTCAGACAACAGCCAACAAAAAGGAAACCAAAAACAAACCCAAAAAAATCAATCAAATAATCAATCAAATCAAATCAAATCAAATCAAATCAAGAAACAACGACAAAAACAAAGACGAAGAGTACAAATGAAGGAAAAGGAACGAAAAAAGGGGGGAACAGACGGATTTAGATTGGATAGAAGAACGGGAAGGAAGGAGAAGGGATGGAAAGTTGGTTTCTGTTGATATTGGCAAGAAAATGGGATTTGGTGAGATCACAGACATCATCTCTGGAGCTTCGAGGCTGACTTTCAAAATCACAGTTCCCTGATGACTCCACTGGAGTCTTTTGACATCTTCCAATTCCACCATGGCCTAGCCAGCAGAGCTCATGATTCACCCCTGACTCAAGAGGGATGCAATGACACCACTGTTCGTTTCTCAATTTGTGATACTCTTTTGCCAGTGCTAACCGTTCCAGTGTCCAGTCACCACCATCAACCCATGAGATCCTCGAGCATTCGAACAACTTCCTGCTCAATTCGCTCCACCTTTTGAAAACCCCACCTTTCACACGGTTATTGCATCCCACCACCCAGTCCAATGCGGAAACCCACCAACCTGCTGCAATGTTGCAGACCACCTCCTGCCGGCCCCTCACCACCTTACTCGACAGTCGCCAAGCGAGCCAGAAATACATCCTCTGACACCATACTTCTCAGCACCAATAGGTAGAGTGTTGGGTTGTATGATCAGGCGGTCACTGTTTCTGGTACTTGGGACTGCGGAAGCATGAACAACTATTATCCTCGACAGTCACCACGAGACAGCTAGGAATACATCTTCTGACACCATACTTCTCAGTACTAACAGGCGGCGTGTTGAGTTGTATGATCAGGAGATCCCTGTTTCTAGTACCTGGGACTGTGGCAGCATGAAGAACCATTATCCTCGACGGCCATCAAGTGCGCTGGAAATACCATCCTTTTGACACCATACTTCTCAGCACCAACAGGCGGTGTGTTGGGTCGTATGCTCATGGGATCCCTGTTTCTGGTACTTGGGACCGTGACAGTACCGAAGAACCATCGTCCTTGACAGTTACCACGAGTGAGCTAGGAATACATCCTCTGACACCATACTTCTCAGCACCAACAGGCGGCGTGTTGAGTTGTATGCTCAGGGGGTGCACTGTTCCTAGTTTACCTGGGACTGCGCGTTGACTCTGGTATATCAGGGCTGTCCACTGCAAGTGACTTTCGTATATCAGTGCTGTCCACTGCGAGTTGATTCCGGTAAATCAATGCTGCCCATTGCGAGTTGACTCTAGTATATCAATGCTGTCCATGTGAGTTAGCATCAGGTGGTGAGGACTGACAAGAGTGGTCTCGCAGGATTGCAGTATGGAAAGGAAATCTCAGCGCACACCCCTCAGTCATTTCTCAGTACTTGATGCACTCGGAATCACGGATAACCCTGTACCTCCAGCTTTGGGTCACATCGAATCCCAACATTGAAGACCACATCAATTCTTCATGAAACGGTACCAACGATCCCACCCCCGAGACACAACCTCAAGACTTGTCACTCTTGTGAACATGGCAACAATCAACATCGACCTTTACTCTTGACTGCTGAGCACTTCTCATTGGACTGGGTCGGCATACTGACACACGGGGCACCAATTATCGAGCTCTTCTACCAAAGCTACTCATGACCAACCACCAACTTTCGCACCTTCGAGGCCACACCAATGCATCAAATGCAATGTGTCTGTCATCTGCAATCTTGCTTAATGCAGATGAAACGGTTGTTTTAAAACAAATTCATATAACAAGACTCATGAGTATGGTAAGACTTCAAAACAGTTCCCCTATTGAAGACAATAAAGCTGACAATTCCAGACTTGAGACACAACCTTGGAAGTCAAAACAATAAAACAAAAACAAAAACAAAACACTCACTCTGACCACCGCACTCTTCACCACTGGGGACTTGCAACCTTGTTCAACAAACAGGATGAAACATGATTGCCACAACCTACAAACGCCAAAATAAAAACAGAAGAACAAAAAGGAAAAAGAAATAGAAACTGCAAGGCAACAAGGCAACAAGTCCAAGGATCATCCACACCCCTGAAGAGACCTTTGGTAGACGGTCATGGAATCATTGAATGGAAGCACGTCACCTCGAAAGACAAACTCATCCACTATCAACTTGACTTCGCAAATATCACATCTCACAGCACCACATCTGGATTGGAAGGATGAATATAGAAAATATGGGAGGATGAAAAAGGGAATGTACGAATGAACTTTGTTTTGATATCTTTGGGAGGACTCGGGAATTTTATCTACATTGTCGAACACTTGCACCTTGCACCGACTCTGCTGAGTCTTCAAATCTCAGCTCGAAATCTGCTTCCATGGAGATCATCAATATCCATGTGACTGTCGGCATTTGCTTGGGAGGTTGGTTCAATTTGTTTTGTATTTACTGGAAGTTCATTCCAACTTTATGTATTTAAGGCTACTTCTGCTACATCAAACCTGTGGAAGTACAAAAAGAAGAAAATCATCTTCATAATCACCTCATCATCTCGCATAATATATCAAAAAAGTAGTGTGTTGTCTAGCAGTTTGCTCACTAGGATGGCACTATTCGGTTAATTATACCCAACATCTCAAATAGTAAAGTTGCCATCTCTAAAACCGTCCATACATTTATTGCAGCCACCATTTGATCTACGGCGCAAATGAACGGAAATTAAATTGAAAAGTCAAATGTGAATTCTAAGCTAAGTCATAAAGCAGAGACAGAATCATTAATTGATACAATCATCCGGGCGTCCAAGGCAGGAAGTCTGCGAACACAGACAACATACCAAGCAATGAGAAAGGAAAACGGTATAGAGCTCTCAAATTGGGAAAAACGAAAACAAAAGAAAATACGTAGCAGGACGAAGCAAAGAACTCCCCCCTCTTATCGAAACCAAAGACGACGATCACCAAAGACGCAAATCCGAAATCTGAACCCCGAATCCGAACCACCCAGATCAACATCTAAATAAGGACCAACGGAACAAGTCGCTAACCAAAGAATGGTAGGAACAGCAAAGCAAGTACGGAGTATAGTCAAGATATTCGGAGCGTGTTGCAAAAATCACAAGAGATGCGAGGAGCCCAACTCCGCCAACGCAGCGGTCAATGGGATGATGTTTTCCTCTGTGGATGAGTCGTCTGGTGGCCAAGTCCACTATGTCATCACTGGACTTGGCTGACGATCTCGCTGGCGCGACCCAGGCTCTCGACCATCTGTTGGCATTCCTTTCGTCGGCGAGTGGTGTAATCACTCTCCTTGAGGAGTTCATCGAGCTCGTTGGTGCGGTACATGTTCTCCAGGAGCTCGCGTTGCATCTCATCCTTGGTGAATCTAGGGGAATCATTTGTTAGTATACTCGAGTGTTGGAGTGGGGCTTTGCATGAATGGGACATACTGGACAAGGGTGTACATGACCGCCTTGGGAACCATGTCGATCATTGTGCGCTTGACAATGTTGAAGTAGGAGGTAATCAGGAGTTCTGCGTGAGTGTTAGTGAAGTCCCACAAGGAGCTTGTATGAACTAGTCCACTTACTGATAACCTCAACCTCGGTGGCTTCGCGCTCAGACAAGCTAGCGGAAGCCTTGAGAGTTGGGGGAGGAGCCTCCATGAGAGCCATCTTCTTCTTGTTCTTGGACGCCCAGAAGCTGCCGAAGAACCCACTGTTGTTGTTCGCCTCACCGGTGGTGTCGAGCGAGGGGCTCTGAGCCCGGGC